TGTTACTTGTGGTGTTGATGAAAGTACATTACACGTTATTGATACAACTATTGGCACAAATGAATGTACATTTTCTCTTAATGAACAGCAAAAGGTGTAAAACATCACTCTTCGCTGTCTCCTTCCTCAGAATTTTACTTTCCTATCGAAAATAAAAAGACTACATAGCTAAAACTGAATATACTTTACCTTAAATGTCTCTGGTATTCTTTACCGAGTCAAATGGAAGAACAAGAAGCGAGATTAGGTAGAATTGATGTTGGCTTTGACAGAATGACGCTTCAAACAAGCGAAACACTCTCTTATCTCAAGACCTGACGCGAACATGACGACAAAGGGTTAAATACCAACCCATCCACAGGGAGACCACTACAGGAAATGAGTTGGTAATGGCAGTTTTGCTTTTTTGTAACAGTATTTGGCTCATATTTTCTCAAATAAAAACGAAAAATACTATACCAGAACCAGTTGCTTCACTATTGGTCAAAATTCAGCTAGTCATTCATAATAGTAAAAGATTGCATCAGATAAAATTACTGATTCCCATCTTTAGCCATTTATCCTTTTCTTGAGTATTACTTTTTTAACAATAAACATTTGAAAAGAAAGCAGTTCCTACCAAAGTAATTCCCCCTTTTTGTTTTATAGCCAGTTAATAAACATCTGTGATCAGGGATTTTAAGATTTTGCTAAGCGCTTATATCATCTATACACTTTAAAAATTACCAGTAATGGTTATCACTGATACTTCCGCTGTTATTATGACATATTATTAAGATGAAAGAAGACCCCTGAATTTCAACTGGAAAACACAAAACATGTCTCCACCACATACATTAAAAGTTCTATTTTGAAAATGACCTTTTTTAATGGTGAAAATCATTTTAGTGAATTTTGTTATATTTTACAACTAAAAATTTAAAAAAAAACTCTTCAGGATACTTGCTGTAATCTTTCTTTTTCAGCAAACAACCCCTTCCCTTTCCATCTCATCCTCTCTACTGAGAGGGAAGGGAAGAGAAGGGAAGATGGATGAAAGGGGAATATCTGAGCTAGTTGTAATCTGACTTTCTTTTTCAACAAACAACTACTTCCTTTCCCATCCTTTCCACTAAGGGGGAAGTGAAGGGAAGGGAAGATGGAAAAAATGGGAAAATATGAAAAAATGATATCCTTAGTCATCCAAAGCCAGATTACTATTAATCTTGAATTCATTTTCATGTGAAAGCAGTGATTGTCTTTGTAAATAAACCTGGATTACTAAATGGATTATTTAAACAAAGCAAATTTACTTCATGGTAAAAAAATCAGAGTTAATGACAGAATGTAAACACATAAAAAATTTATTCAGGCTTTGAATAAGTCAACAATGTCAACAAAGCACCTACCTCTAAGAAACTCATAAAACCTATCTTCTATACTACACTATATTCAACCTTTCTATATATACCTCACAATATCTTATATATCGTAATCATCTGATCAATTTGTCATATGTTTTGTTTTAAAATGTATCGTGCCATCTATTTTTTGCAGTTTGCCAGTAAAGGACATGCCTGGATCTCTTTTTACTTAAATGTAAGAACAATCATTTACAGAGACTGAAAATCGTAAGAGTTTTGAAAATGGGAAGCAAAATCAGCTTTTAGTGAATTGGAATAGCACACTTCTGAGTATTCTCCTATGCAGAAGGTATTACTGTCGTCATGCCATGCTCACTCCCCTAAGTAGTGATTGGGTAATTTAAGGGAATGGAATGAAGCAGCTGCTACTTTGGGGAGTGAGCGAGACGTGACAACTTCTGATATACGCTTTGCAAATCACGAATCACTGAGCATTATGCTTGAAGCCTCGTGATGAATCCTTTGTGTGTGACAAGCGAAGCACATCTTGGAAGTGGGCTATATATATTGTACTAGTTCCATACAAGTTGTCACCAGAGATTGGATTTGAAATGCCAAATCCAGCATTATCATGAACACTGGAAGTGAGTTTAAATAATAATTCCTCTGGATCATATATAAGGTGGATAAATACTGCAGTTTCAAGTTATCAGTTGCTCAGGGTTAGCTTTGATTTCCTATCACATTTTTTTTTTTGAATATCTAGTATGTATTCCAGTGAAGGTTTGCAGAATTTCAAAGTGTTTGTATGGTTGAAGTTGCATAATGAGGCTAAGCCTGAGTAAATGAGTCTGTAATCAAGAAACACAGCTGTATTTGGCTGATTTGAAAAGAATCTATTGGCACTTGTCTGTACAAATGCTCTAAGGCCAGTTCTCTTAACTGGTTAATTGACTGGTCACATGTTGATAAATCAGGCATGACTGATCATCATGTCAGGCAGTTGACCAGCCATTATCTTTAGTCCTGGGCCTGGTCGTATTAAGGGTGGATTGCAGTGGATAAATTTATTATTGGATAACAGCATCACTTTATCCACTGGATAAGATTTATCCATTGGATAGCGCTATCCACCCTTCGTACAACTGGGCCCTGAGGGTATGATTCTCCTATCTCCCCCCCCCCCCTCCCCCCAACTCCATAGAGAAAATAAAGAGTAGAACTTTCTCCATGTGGGAGGAAGGGTGGGTGGTTTGTTCACAGAATATATTGTACAGCTTTGCACAACAAATCCTGCATCTCGAGGATAGTGTCTTACTTTCCCAGATTTAGTGATACACACATCAACCTTTTGATGAATTAATTTGTTAATTTTTTCATGCCAATAGCTAAAAATTCATGTCTTCTTTCACCGCAAAAATAGCCATAAAACAAGACTAGTATGTGCACAATGTTATCATCCTCTTTTAGGTGTGAAATGAATGCATGAAATGCTCTGCATTCCTGCGGTGGTTGGTATTTGTTATTTTGAAAACCAATAAGTTTGAGGTTTTCTCCTCAATCATTATTACCAAGTTATTCCATGCTCATTAGTGCTAGATAGATTTTAAACCCACTTCCTCTTCAGCAATCTCTTCCAAGAAAATCACTTCACATTCTACAGATTAATCAAATATGCTTTCGCAAATTTTCTTGCTCCCATAGCTTAACCCTGCTTACCTAATGAAGGGCTGTTTGGGCAGTGAAATTGATATATATATTTTTTAAGTAGAAACAGGAATGTTATTCCTACATCTTGTATACTATTTGGATTTATTGTAGGATACATTAAGGACAGCAGCCAAACTTTCCTCTGGATCCTTGATCCAATTGTACATCGCCTTTACCTGTAAGATGCAATATAAGTAGATGAAAACTCTATCCATGTATTATAAAATATTTGAGATATACCGCGCGCGCTGATTGTTGATATCAGAGGACAGACATTTTATAAAAGCAATATAAAATGTCCACTTGTATCTACATACTGTGATATAAACACTCTGGGAGCTGTAGAGTACTCAAGAAGTCAAAGAAACACTCCGCTACGCCTCGTGTTTCTCTAAGACTTCTCTCTTGTTCTACAGCTTCCATCGTGTTTATATCACAGTATATAGACACGCACTCCATGTTATTTTCCTTAAATATACAGTAATATACTTTAAAGTATAGTAGTTCAGTTCCACACGACAAGTATGGATACATGGTATGGGTGGTGTAGTGGTTACCACTAACTGCTATGGTCCGAGTTCAAGCCCCGGCTAAGACTGGATCATAATTGAGTTGAGTCTGTTTGATATGTCATTCTCTCCTTTGCCACAAGGGTTTTCACCAGGATCTCTGGTTTCTTCCCTTCATAAAAATCAACATGTGAGTTGAGTGTTGTATATTGTAAATATAGAATATAGGTAAATATAGGTGCATGTAATTAAAGGAAACACCACAGAAGAAACCTGTAAGGGGCAAACGAAAGTGGTGATTGTAAAATTAAATGTTTTCCATATAAGTATGGAGAAAATATAACATATAGTATTGTAGTTTAAGGTGGTGTTTTACCTTGTGCTGTCATTTTATTTAATCTCATAAAATCTTCTGCAATTTTTTCAAACACTTTATCTATGGAGAGAGAAAAACAATGCCCTTACATCAACTCAATGATTTTAAAAATGACCCGGGGGG